GTGATAGATATAATATAAAGTAAGAGAGAAACTAGGAGAAAAGAGAAAATGGAATAAGGAAAGACGAAGGAGAGGAATATAAGCACGAAAACAACCCTCCAAAAAGAGCGTAAAAGACAGAGAAGGACTGGGAAGGAGACAAAGAGGAAATGAGACGCAGGATAATGGCATTGTTTACGTGTGTCAGTCTTTTTAAAAGAAGTCCGAGAGGCGCTGATGTGCGAGATACGTCAGGGCGAGGAAGGTCGGATCTCGAGGGGGAATAGAGGAGGAGGGAAGGAAGGAAGGAAGAAAGGAAGGAGGAAGGAGGGAGGAGTAGGAGGAGGAAGATTAGGGCAGGGGAAGGAGGGAGGAGAAGAGGGAGGGAGGAGGAGGGAGGAGGAGGGAAAGGGTGGTAGGAGGAGGAAGGAAGGAAGGAAGGAAGGAAGGAGGAGGAGGATTACGGGAGGGGGAGGAGGAGTAGGAGGAAGAGGAAGGAGGAGGTGAGGGAGGAAGGAGGAGGAGGTGAGGGAGGAAGGAGGAGGAGGAGGGGGGGAGTAGGAGGAAGAGGACGAGGAGGAGGAGGAAGAAGAGGAAGAGGACGAGGAGCAGGAGGTGAAGGAGGAGGATATTGAGGTGGAAGTGATGGAGCAGGAGGTGATGGAGGAAAAAGAAGAAGAAGAGGAAGAAAAAGAAGGAAAAGGAGAGGAGGGGCAAGGGAAGGAAGAAAAGGAGGGGGAGGAGAAGCAGGAGGAGGTGGAGGTGGAGGGAGAAAAGGAGGAGAAAAAGGAAAAGGGGAGAGATAAGAGGGGAGGAGCAGGTGGAGGTGAGAAGAAAGGAGGAGAAAGAGGAGGAAGAGGAGGAAAGGGACAAGTGTAAGTGGCGGTTGAAGAAGAAGAAGAAAAAGAAAAAGACAAAGGCAAAGACAAAGAGGACGGCAAAGAAAAAGGAGGAGGAGGAAAAGAGCAAGAAGGAAAAGAATTGCAGATGAAAAAAATAAAGATAAACCGGAAGAGCAATTTAAAGAGGAGGAGGGGAAAGCAAAAAAAGACAATTGAAAACATGGCAAAAGAAGAAATTAAAAAGGAAGAAAATAAAGAAAGAAAAAGACGAATAAACACAGGGAGTAAAAAAAAAAAGTTCAAAATGCCTTAGCTCCTGACATGACACCGCTGCGCCTTACATTTCGCATCTGTTACTCTTCCCTTCGCTCAGGACTCAGCAAAAGAGGAGAATAAAAAAAAATAGAAAAGAAGAAAAGAAAAGAAAAGAAAAGAAAAAAAGACGAATAAACACAGGGCGCAAAAAATTGAAAAGTCAAAAGGGCAAAAGCGTATTTTCAAAAAAAAAGTGTTATTCGGGTCGGAAAGTCATCTCGCTCAGGGCTCAGCAGCATCGCCACTCAGTCAGCCAGTCTTGTAAACAACTGGAGGAATTTCCCTTTGAGGTGGTTTCGTTCTCGTGCGCTCTCTTTTGGTGTGTGTGTGTGTGTGTGTGTGTGTGTGTGTGTGTGTGTGTGTGTGTGTGTGTGTGTGTGTCTGTCTGTCTCTGTCTGTCTGTCTGTCTCTGTCTCTGTCTGTCTCTCTCTCTGTCTCTTCCTCTGTCTGTCTCTCCCTCTGTCTGTCTCTCCCTCTGTCTGTCTCTCCCTCTGTCTGTCTCTTCCTCTGTCTGTCTCTCCCTCTGTCTCTCCCTCTCTCTCTCTCGCTCTCTCTCTCCCCCCCTTCTCTTTCTCCTTTTCTCTTTCCCTTTCTCACTTTCTTTTGACCTCTGCTTCCCCTCCCCCTTCTCCTCTCCCTCCTGTTCTACCCCTACCCCCCCTTTCTCCGTCAGGTCGAGAGTGAAGAGAAACGGAACAAGATGTTTGCTCGAGGGAAACCCACAAACAAATACTCTTTCTTTCGTTCTTTGTGAGTCGAACTTGGAGTAGTTGGTGTGTGCAAAATGTCTCTCTATATCTGGCGAAAAAAACAGTTTGCGTTTATGTATGTATGTGTGTATGTATATCAGCCGTTCGTTCGTTCGTTCGTTCGTTTGTTCGTTCATACACACACATACACACACTCGCACACGCACACTCGCAGACGCACACTCGCACACACACACTCGCACACGCACACTCGCACACACACACTCGCTCACGCACACACACACACACACACTCGCACACGCACACACATACATACGCATACACACACACACACACACACACATACATACGCATACACACACACACACACACACACACACACACACACACACACACACACACACACACACACACACACACACACACACACACACACACACATGCACTCACACACACATGCACTCACACACACATGCACTCACACACATGCACTCACACACATGCACTCACACACACACACATGCACTCACACACATGCACTCACACACATGCACTCACACACATGCACTCACACACATGCACTCACACACATGCACTCACACACACACACACACACACACACACACACACACACACACACACACACACACACACACACACACACACACACACACACACACACACACACAGATAAAATTATATAGATAGGAAGATAATCTTTATGATATGGTGATAGTGATACTACTAATAATTAGACCAATAATGAATCCACAATCAACGGCAACAACAAAAACAACAACAACAACAACAACAACAAAATTTTTCTCACGCACGTACACGTCCGCACGCGCTCACATAAACACACGCACGCACGCACGCTCACATCCGGAACTGGTGCATCTCCAATCCTCTTTGTCGACGAAACACTTTGAAGTATTCGGGTCTGTTTCTGCTCTCGGTGAAATATCTTTCGCAAGTTTTCCGTTTCACTTTCCGTTTTTAATTTTGTTTTTCGTTTTTTTTTATTATATTTTATTTTTATTTCATTTTTTTTTTTTCGTTTGCTCAGTCTTGGTGTTTGGGAGAACTGTTTTAAGAAGTGTTTTCGAAATGAGGATGGCGGAAATGTATTCTCGTAATCTTTCTTTTCGTTTTATTTATTTATTTATTTATTTATTTATGTATTTATGCAGTGGATGTGCGGAAGTTGTTGGAATTCGTTGATGAGATGGTGATTAAAGCTGGTTAGTCTCCGTGTTTTTTTTTTGTTTTTTTTTTCGGTAATTGTGATGATGATGTTAATGTTGGTTATAACAGGAGATGCTTTGGTTGTAATATTGAAAAAAAAATGATGTATGAAGATGATGGTGATGGCGATAGTGATGGTGATTGGTGTTGATGGTGTTGATAATGATGGTGGTTATGATGATGATGATGGTTGTGGTGGTGGTGATAAGGATGGTGGTTGTGGTGATGATGGTGTTAATGGTTGGTGGTGGTGGTGATATTGATGGTGATAATGGTGGTGATGATAACAATTGGGTTAAGTTGACAATGATAGTGACTATTGAAAAAATGGCATATTGAAAAGATAACATAGTGATAATGATGACAATAAGGATGGCGATAAAAATAACTCAAGGTCTTGACGGGGAAGAACCGAGGTCTATAAATAGCTTTTTCTGGACGTTGGGAAGATCAGTGATATTAAAAGTATTGAATTCTCGATTATGATCACCCTTACCCCCTCCCCTAATCGTCTCCCTGCCCCCCCTTTCCCCCTTCCCCCTTTTCCTCTTCATTCTCTTATTTTCTTCCTCATCCTCATCTTCCTCCGTCACCACCCTCACCCCCATTTCCCGCATAAACCTAATACCCCTTATCTTTACCTTACCTAACCCCCACTGTCTACTTTATCCCCCCTCCTCTTTCTCCTATCCCCTCCTCCTCTTTCTCCTACCCCCCTCCCCTTTCTCCTACCCCCTCCCCCTTCCTCCTACCCCTCCCTCCCCTTTCTCTTACCCCCCCTCCCCTTCCTCCTACTCCTCCATCTCCTCTTTCTCCTACCCCCCTCCCCCTCCCTTGCCCCATCCTACCGCCACTCTTACCCCTCTACCTTCTCCCCCCCCACCCTCCCCCACCTTCTTCCCCACCTGTACCTCCCCCCCTCCCCCTGCCATCTTTACCCCCCCCCCTCCCCTCGCCACCTCCCCCCACCTGTAACTCCAACCCCCCCCCCCCATCCCCCCCCCTCTTCTCTTCAATCAGCCAACTTGTGATGAATATTCGAGAAGAAGAAATAATTATGAGTATGGGATGAATATAAAAAAATGGGGCAATAGATGAATAAGGACCCTTTTGAGATGAGTAATTTGATGAGTAAGTAAGGACGAGAGATGTGATGGGTCAGTAACGGATGAATAACGTGACGAATAACTGAAAAAAAGATGAGTAACAGGATGAATAAACGAGGATGATGATGAGTAATAAGAATAAACGAGGATGATGATGAGTAATAAGAATAAACGAGGATGATGATGAGTAATAAGGAAGGGGGGATGAATATGGATGATGAGTAAATATGGATGTATGAGGAACTCCTTGAGACTGGGTATGCAAATAAGGCACTCGGTTATTAGTCGTTTTAGTTTGTTGCTGTTGTTTGAACGGTTGCTACTTGGGGGGGGGGGGGGGGGAGGGCTGCTGAGGATATTGGGAAAGTTGATCAGTTTCATAGTTTAAGTGTTGCATGATGTTTCGGTTATGGGGGCAGGGTGTGTGTGTGTGTGTGTATGTGAGAGAGAGAGAGAGAGAGAGAGAGAGAGAGAGAGAGAGAGAGAGAGAGAGAGGAGAGAGTGAGAGGTGAGAGTGAGTGCCCGAGAGAGAATTAGTGAGTGTGAGAGAGAGAGGTTGAGTGTGTGTGTGTGAGAGATTGAGAGAGAGAGAGACCGAGATCGAGACCGAGACCAAGACCGAGACCAAGACCGAGACCAAGACCGAGACCGAGAGAAAGAGAAACCGACACCGCATGTGTGCGTGCAAGTGCAGACGGGAGCCCCCGCCACGATACTTACAGCTCGCGTACATACAATACATAAAGTCTTTTTCTCGCGTTTTCCTAACACTTTCCTTTCTTTTCCTCCGCCAGAGCCCG